AAGAACATCAAGGATATGAAGGTTGGTGAAAAGTATAAAGTGATTGGTATCGATCTAATCAATACCAAGTATGGCGATCGAATACTGATCGATACTGAGAACTTTAAGTGCATCCTTCCTTTGCGCTTTTATGAGTACTTCAAGAGCGACAACCGTCTGCAGATCTTCAAGGACACCTTGTCCAGGGAAGAAGTGTACATAACAAGCGCTGGAACGGCGGGGAAGACTACTAATTTAACATTTATGTAAAAAAGTTGTAAATGAGAGAGAGAGAGAGAGAGAAATAATAAATGTTGTTCACGAGAGAGAAATTGGGTCTCTTATTTAAATGCACATCCCACTCTCGAGATCACCTCCACGAAAAAAAGGCTCCAAAATGTGGTGACGAGGACGAGGGCGACGATGACAACATCTATCGCGATATTGAAGATGTGTTAAACTATAAGTTTAACGTAAATTCTCACAATACAGTTTTTCTATTTCGGTGTCACAATGATGATTTTGTACAACTGTTTTCGGCCGAAAACAGTTGTACAAAGACAGTGATTATAGTCGTTTTTTTTGGTAACTCATCTCTTAAGTTGGCAGTTACTAGTTAGTTCAAGTAGGTACTTCGTTGGGTACTTCCATGTTTGAACTTCAAAATGTCAGTCTTACTACGCTGCCAACCTAAAACTTAACGGCATAAAAAGTGTTCCCAACATAAAACATGTTAGTTCTAATGTTCCCTATACTTTCTGATAATGATTTTTTTAAATTAAATTAAAGCACCGAAATAGAAAAAATAGTATGAAAAACGCGTGTTACAATGCTTTATTGTAATACTCCTATCTTGCGGACACTCGTGGCTACGCTTCGCGTCGCCACTCGTGCCACAAGATAGTCGTATTACAATAGGTCGCATTGTAACACTTGTCTTTCAATATACTATTGCATGATGGAATTATTATACTATCGACCTACTTATTTTATGTATCACATATGTCAATAAACGTACTCTATTTGAGCATTTTTTTTTATTTGATGGAGGCAACTTCTTGCCACACTTCAACAATGTTGAGTCGGAAGCGGAAGTGTACGGATGGGAGTGGCTTGGTTAATAATCTCATAAACAAACTTCCAGTGGAACTACATATTCCTGGCTATCAGTATTGCGGACCTGGTACTAAATTAGATAAAAGGCTAAAGCGAGGCGATCGGGGCATAAATCCCCTAGACGCTCAGTGTAAAGAGCACGACATTTTTTTTAAATATACAGCTTTCAAAATAAACAGGCTGTTCCCCCTGTTTGTTTACCTGGTTCCCTTGATCGCATCATCATGGATACTAAAGAGATGGCCTTGAAACGACTAATAAGCGCCTAAAGTACAATTGTCTCAAAGCGGATCGTTTTATTAAAGAAGTGGAGTTTGTACGAACGTATAAACCGCTAATTCAACCGCTATCCCAGATCGTTAAGAAAATCGAACCGCCGTTAGGGTCATATCGATTTTGGCTCACTCAAAGCTTAATGCGTGCCGATCCTGGCTGACTTTCAAGGCCATGCGGTGTTTGTCTGTCGAGTGTAGTTTGAGAACAAAAATGTTGTATTGTTTTCGGGTGATCAAGGCGACTTAAGAATGGGTGTGGTTTAGACTAATATATAAGTGTTTGTTGTAATGGGTCTTTGCTCTGAATAATTCAATAATAGACGAGATGTCAAGAGCCATTGTCCATCATCATCATCCACAGCAGCAGCACCGACATCATCTTTGCAATGCAATGCCGAAAAAAGATTTGACGAACTGTTACTGAAAATTAGAAAATTAAAGTGGGATGTTGAAATGCTGGGTTGTCAGCGGCTCAGCACCGTATGAAAAAACTGATTTTGTAGTGATGCTTGGACGTATTCAAACTTTCATACAGTAGCAGTTAAGGCAAGGATTATTTCTTTGTGTGATGAGACAATGGCATAAATAAGACGATGATGGTTATTCTTGTGTATCAATTAAGACAATTTGTACTTATGTAAAGTTTGAGTATTAAAAAAGAATGTATAAAGGGTGCTTATTCATTTTGCCCTGACATTCTTCCTTTAGAACCAATTTGTACGTGGTATGATCAAACACGCTTATTTCTTGTGTAGGAATTGCGAGCGAGAGGGTTAAAAAAATTTGGGGATTGGTGTTTAATGAACGCTCAATTTTTAAAACGAGTACACTGTACCTACCGTGAATAGACGTTCTGCTTCGTATCGCGCATTTGGTAAAAATAGAATATTATCAGCTCGCATTATGCCGACTTGCGTATGCACTCATTTCATTGCACAGTGATATTCGCGATGTGTTGTGGAAAATAATTTTGGTATTTCTTTGTGATAATTTCACTCGAACTCAGGTAGATACGTAAATATTGCATTTAAAGTTATGCCGTGAATGTTTGTGGCAGGTAAACTAAATTAATTAATATCAACAATCGCATTAAACAATCCATGTATTTTCTACATAAAATTAGCTACATTACATTAATGTTTTACTTATTATTACTCGTAAGTACCTACCGAGGTACCTACTATTACAAATGTGAAATTAAATTTAAAAGGAAAAATTAGTTATTCTTTAAAAATTGCATGTAATTTGTAATAAACTTCATGTCTCGATGCAGGTTTTCATCTTGAAGCCGTGATGCAGCCAATTCCCGTTCTAAACGCTCCGTCTGGAGTTGGGAATTTCTTTGTCTGGCCTGGAAAATTGTCAGCATCTTCTCCAGACGCCCTATTGATAACATCGCCAGCTCTTGGGGTGTGGACGGCTCGTGCCATCTGGGCGATTCATGAGATGGCGGCGGTGGTGGTGGTGGCGCCTCTTCTTGGTCGATGGCTGCTGAAGACGGCGGCGAGACGTGTTCATAAAATTCTCTTAGTAATTGCATATCTTTTTCCCCCCTAGGCAACGGGGCACTGTAACAATAAGAGAAACAGTATTAAAAATAGATTATATGTATAATAAAAGTAACTTACTGAAAGTGATTGTTGCCGCCGTTATTTACAGGTAGCTGTAGTGGTAAATTTGGTTGTTGTTGTTGAGCTGGATTATTTCTGTAACGTAACATTAGAATAAGTATTTCCACATAAACGGAGGTACACTAATGAGTAAACTTACGGAAATTGATACATGTCACACATCGCGGATTGTGGATGTAAAGCTACCATTTCTGGCGGCTGCGTTTGAGTATTTGCCTGGGGTAGCGGCCCAGGAATTATAATATGCTCCAATATTTGTACTGATGGATACTGGCTGTAAAACATATATGTATTAGAAATTTTATTTTTTCGTGAACAATAATTTGTACCTTAACTGTTGTTGGTGTTGTTGTTGCTGGCCATGTCTGGGATCTATCACCGGTGGTCTCATGTGAGGTGGAGGAATTGTTGTAATTGAAGGAGCGTAAACATGATTGAAATTTCCCTCATATTCTTTTAGAAAATCTTCCAGTTCATTTGTGGTGGTGGTGGTGGTAGCTATTGTTCTATAAAAAAAATAAAATAATACCTACAACATTAGTATCTATATGGATGGTGGAGAGCCAGTACTAAATTATTATACAAGTTTACAACTTACCTTTCCCGATGTCCTTCTTCATCTTCCGTGACGAGGTTGATCACATCACCATCGGATAATTTTGTAGGTTTTTCTAAGGCGGTCTTTAAGATTGAGCGTCCACCACCCCCACAGGCATTTATGTAAGGCTTCTTACTCGTTGCACTTTTTTTTAAAGTCAACTTGTTGGCGCGTTTGGTTGAAGACATGACGATAACGTGCAGATTAACACTTGTGCCGCAAAATGTCTACCCCTAGGTATATATGTGGAGGTTTTTGTTGGAGTTAGCAAAAGAGTGATTCTGAAATAACATCAAGGACCGTTCTCACACACACACATCAACCATTGTCCTGACACCTGCACGCTTTCCAAGAAACGTACATTTCCATGGTGTTAGCAAATGATACCCGTGAAACACCTGCAACATTGAAGATTCCCAGAAGACGGCAGAGACCATTCACCTCAGTTTAACAATGATAATATTCATTAATGTACTGGGAAGATGAACTTTAAATGAGCTTTAATCGTCGATAAAAAAAATCGGCCTCTACGTGCTTTGGTCTGGTACATTACAGCCAATCATCGCAGTCAACCGCTTTCAAGGTTACGAGTTGGAAATATAAGCTATGGCGAGCAGTACAGTAGTGCTAGTCCAGTAGTACCTAGGTCTCGAAACAGTTTGGTGAATCAGTAGCAGAAAATGGTTATTGCTATTGACGTTCAAGGATTTAAAACATCCCCAACGACATTTACGCCAAAGGAGTTGGCGGTATTTAATGGGCACCAAGTTGCACATATTGTGTTCAAACCTCCATTTTCATTTAGCAGTTTAGATGTGAACTACCAGAGACAAGCTATCTGGCTGATGCACAACCACCATTGTATTAAATGGGAAGAAGGACATACACCGCCCCACTTATTTCCGATTATACTTCGCCGGCTAGTATCACCAATGGAGGCTATATATGTGAAGGGAAAGGAGGAGGCAGAATTTATACGAAAAACCTTATCGCAGGATGTCGTCGAGATCAACGAGGAACCTGCATTACCTAAATTGGAAGCCAGCTGTTTATCATTCCTATCCAAAATGTCATTGTGCATTGGCAAACGTGTATTACATACATAACAATTATACAATGCCGTAATTGTTTAGTAAATAAAGCGATAAAAGTTTAACATTTGTTCTTTCTCTTAAATACCCTATAAATAAGGATGCGGATGTGCAAAACGATCGTTTCAGTAAAGGTTTCGATCACTATATAAAACCTACCGTGAAAACGTGTTTATTTTTCAGTTGGAAAACACTGCTATCAAGTATATCTACAGCTTTCAAAATAAACAGCTTTTGATATAAACAGGTAAACAGATAAACAGGTAAACAAATAAACAGATAAACAGGTAAACAGGTAATGAATGTAGCCGATCCAGTAAACAACGGCGGTGCTATAAATAAAGGATACTTCATGTATTATATGCAGATTGCAAAAGCGCCTGTAGATGGTCTTCGCAATTACGTGGATGTACTAGAGGAAGAGTTGAAAACGGTCAAAGAAAATTTACATAAACTGATAGAGGATGCAGCAGGTGGTAAACCAGTTACATAAAGCGTCACGCAAAAACTTCCCCCGTAGACTTTTCAAACTACGAAACGCAGACCGAAAAATCTACAAACCGATGCCGGGAAGGAATTCTATAACAAATCATTCGCCAAATTGATGATGTAAGAACGCATTAATCACTATTCCACGTACAGTACGAAAAAGGCTGCACTGGCCGAGAGGGTTATAAGAAGTATAAAAAAACCCTTGTACCGGCAGTTTAGTTTACGTGGAAAATATGTATGGATAGATGCAATCGAATCGATCACGAGCGAGTACAATAATCGTAAACATCGAACAACGGGGATGAAACCGATCGAAGTGAAGGCCGATACAAAGCCGGACGCCTACAACCACATCAAGCTCTTCAACAATAAGAAATGCCGTTTTAATGTCGGCGATTGTTGTAACCTTATGTAGGTAAATATGTAATCACATTTAGCGTCAGCCTAGACACAGCCACATAATTCAGCTGAAGGTCAACAGGGACAAGCGGAGGAAGGCGAAGGTGGCTAGTAGTACTACGCTCGAGTGTGGATAAGGAGTTCTAAAATTTTGTTGCATTATTCATGAATTTAATAAAGATGTTCTTTGATTAATCGGATTAATCCAGTAATCACAACAAAATTGGCGACGAGGAACGAGGATGAGCACGATGCAGCCACGCAATGAGTAAGCACGTTTCCACATATCACAAGTTCAAGATCCATCCAATGAAACTATTTTACCTGATTGCTATTGCTCATCGAATATAAATAATCAGCATGACGGAATTAACCCAATTTATCGCTACTTTGCAACAACTACTGGAAAAAGTTAGTAACCCGACCCCGCACCCAGAGACGCCACGTCAGGAAGATAAAGAGGATGCTTCAAAGATACACTTCGACAACTTCAACGGAAAAATAGAGTCATTTACGACGTATATTCAACGACTCGAAAACTTGTTTGACCTCCATCGAATTCAAGCCACTCCTGACGGAAACGCACTGCGAGCCAAGGTACTTCTAAACTGCATTGGCACCCAATATTATCAACTTCTCTGTTCACTATGTTCACCAGATTTGCCTACTTCAAAAACGTATACCGAAATTGTAGATGTTTTAACGAAACATCTATGTCCAAGGCAAAACATAGACGTAGCTCAATTCAATTTTATGAAGAGATCTCAAACAGCAAGCGAAACCATTAGTGAGTATCTAGCTTCCTTAAAGCAATTAAGTATACCTTGTCAATTCAATTGTATACATGATAGTTGTAAACGATCAGTTTCGGCACTTTTCCTACGACCAGTATTCATATGTGGCCTTCGAGATTCAAATATTCGCGAGAGGTTATTAATCGAACAAAAACAGTCATTTGACGAGCTAGTTGAACTTGCGATCACCCTCGAAGCATCAAAGAGGAATAACGAGAATCTTGCGGCAAGCTGTTCATCAACCTTACCAACGGGAGTTATTCAATCAGCTGTGCAAGTTAATGAAGTGAAATCTCACAAGAAAATTCATCGAAACCGCAGCCGTAACAGGAATAGCGATCATGTTCGAAATTCCTCAAACTCTCAAAGTCGCTGTAATTCACAGACACGTAATAAATTCAGTTATCTAGGAATAGGTCACTTATGTTTACGCTGTGCACTGGCAAATCACTCATCACGTGAATGTAGAATCTCGCAAGATAAACTGCATTGCAATTCGTGCAATAAATCCGGGCATGTTGCTAAAGTCTGCATATCTACGTTATTCAAAAATCGGAAGAATCGCAATGCTTCGGTACAATACCTCGATGACCCAATGCCTTCAAGCAGCTCAAGTTCAAATTATGTGCTACAAGTTGTCACCATTCCAAATATTTTGAACACCTCAGTTAACTACACTGACAGAAAGTTTCAAATTGCTGTGCAATTAGAAAATAAGGAATCCAACTTCGAAATTGATTCTGGCAGTCCTGTAACGTTTATGTCGAAGAGCAATTATGATAAATTAAAGCTAAGTGCGGTTATTCAAAGTGCGGACATTCAATTTCGTTCGTTTACACTACAGCCATTCACTCCATACGGAAAAGCGGAGATAAGTGTTCAATATCGTGATATAGGTGCAACACTACCACTTTATATCATTAATCGAAATGTAACGTCGATTTTAGGAAGAGATTGGATGAAAACTCTAGGGTTATCAATAACTCATACAAATCCCAGTGATCGTACACCACAGGAGCCCTACGCAGTTCAACAAGTGCAGTCTCCCAATTCAAATTGTGCGGAAGAAATATTTTCTACGTTTGCAGATCTGTTTAAACCAGAAATAGGATGCATTCCCGGGATAAAGTGTTCGTTACGAATTCGCGAAAATACGAAGCCCATGTTTTTAAAAAACCGTACAGTGCCATATGCGTTACTCGATAAAGTAAATAAAGAGCTTGATAAATTGGAATCACAACAAATAATTACCAAGACTACACACAGCGAATGGGGATCACCTTTAGTAATCGTACCGAAATCAAATAATGAAGTACGGCTCTGCGTAGATTTTAAAGCTACAGTCAATCCAAATTTACACGAGGCAAGATACCCCATCCCATTAATCGAAGATATTTTCAACAGATTACGAGGTGGAGTATATTATTGCACCTTAGATGTACATAAAGCATATTACCACATCAAAATGGACGAAGAAAGCTCAAAAATTCAAGCTATTTCTACGCACCGCGGAGTCTATCTCATGAATCGATTGGCTTTTGGAATTAAAGTCGCACCCAACGAATTTCAACGTATCATGGATGAAACATTCTCACACATTCCAGGCACCGCCGTGTATTTTGATGACATTATTATCACAGGTAGTACAATTGAGGAATGTCGACAGCGGTTAATCACCTGCTTACATAAATTACGCTCGATGAATTTGCATTTAAATCGCGACAAGTGCAAGTTGTTTCAAACGGAAGTGACATATTTAGGGCACACAATCGGGAAATTTGGTATTAAGAAAACGAAGGATAAAGTTCAAGCCATTGTAGATGCGCCACGCCCGATCAACTCCGAACAGGTACATTCCTTTATTGGTCTTACGATGTATTACGCCAAATTTCTACCTGATATCTCGACAAGTACAGCGCCATTACGTGAACTGTTGAAAAAGAACGTTAAATTTGTGTGGACAAATAAATGTGAAAAGGCTTTCAACGACATAAAAACGTTAATATCGAGTGATCGAGTTTTAGTGCCCTACGACCCGTCGTTGCCACTTGTGTTAACGCGAGTCCGGTCGGTATTTCGGGTGTTTTATCTCATGTGATAAACAATGAAGAGCATCCGATTGCTTTTATTTCTCGTGCGTTAACACAAAGTGAACGAAATTATTCCCAGCTTGACCGTGAAGCTACCGCAATATTTTGGTCTGTTAAACGACTTTATAATTACTTGTATGGTCGCAAGTTTACCCTTATTACAGACAATAGACCACTATTCCATATTCTGTCGCCTTCTAAGCAGATACCAGCCATGTCCGCAACACGATTAATTCGGTACGCATCTTTCCTGAGTGCATTCGATTTCGACATAAGTCATCGCCCAGCAAGTATGCATGCAAATGTCGACTATTTTTCTCGTGCAACTAAATCCGGAAGCTTACTAGTTAACGATGAAGACGAACATTCGCAATATTATTCAAACATTGTACAATTTTTAGATTCCGAACTAATCACGGCTTCAACAGTAGCGAAAGAGACCGCCCAAGATGAAGAGTTATCTGCGTTACTACACTCGATATCAACGTCTCTCGAATACGCTCCGGAATACTCGACACATAAAGGAGTAGTATTACGAGGGAATCGAGTCGTAATACCTACGAGCTTACGCCCTCAAATTTTACAACAACTGCATTCCGTGCATAGCGGGATCACGAAAATGAAAATGATCGCCCGTAACTACGTCTATTGGCATGGAATAGATCGTGACATTGAAAATATCGCCAAATCCTGCGCCGTCTGTGCAAAAATGCAATCAGATCCGGTGAAGGTTCCAATCCATTCGTGGGAAAAGCCTGACGCTCCATGGCAACGCCTTCACATAGATTATGCGGGACCCAAGGATGGTAAATTTTATTTTGTAATCATCGATAGCCACTCAAATTGGCCAGAAGTATTTGCATCGAATAGTGCTCCTAATACAGAATTGACAATCGAATATCTACGAGAAGTGTTTTCGCGGTTTGGCATACCCAGGATTATTGTTTCAGATAACGCCACTATTTTCACTAGCGATCGCTTCACATCTTTCTGCTCGAATAATGGAATCAAACAGTGTTTTTCAGCTCCAGGCCATCCGGCAACGAACGGCACTGCTGAACGAGCAGTACGGACACTGAAGCAAAGGTTAGCTGCATTGGCCGATTCACCGATTCCGCATCACATTAAGCTACACGAAATTTTATTTACGTGGAGGAGCACACAGCAATTCAGGATCGACACCAGCGGAACTCATGTTAGGACGACCTATGCGCACCAAATTTGACATTCTACGCCCGGCTCAAGAGAAGACACCATCTGGGAATTTACTGCCAGTAACACGAAAATTAAAGGTGGGAGAAAGGGTATGTGCACGAAATTACGTAGGATCGGAAAAATGGAAGTTTGGCACCATTTTAGCAGTATATGGTAGCCGACATTATTTAATACACCTTGACAATGGTCATGTGTTAAAACGTCACATTAACCAACTTCGATCGACACAAGTGGAAAAGCCAGAACCGCCAATGCCAACGCCCAATCGCAGAAAAGTATCGTTCGCACCCAACTTGCCCATCGTACACATTTATAACGGGAACCAAAGTGATCCATCAAATAACTTAGTGCCTACACAGCAGGAACGAGAAGTTGGGGAACAACCCGAAGCAGCTACACAGCCCGAACCAGCTGCACAGCCCGAGCCGCAGCTAATACTCCGACGATCAAACAGAATCCGAAACCAACCAGTGTGGATCCAGGAGTATGTCACCAAATAAGACATTTATTTAATTATTTGTTTTGCTTTTTGTAATTCTTAATTCAAATTGTTTCGACTTCTGCCACTCTATTTAAAGGTGGGAGAATTGTTGTAACCTTATGTAGGTAAATATGTAATCACATTTAGCGTCAGCCTAGACACAGCCACATAATTCAGCTGAAGGTCAACAGGGACAAGCGGAGGAAGGCGAAGGTGGCTAGTAGTACTACGCTCGAGTGTGGATAAGGAGTTCTAAAATTTTGTTGCATTATTCATGAATTTAATAAAGATGTTCTTTGATTAATCGGATTAATCCAGTAATCACAACAGCGATGTAGTTCGAATTAGCAAATTTAAATCCATATTTGCGAAGGGCTACACCCCCAATTGGTCCAGTGAGCTGTTCAAAATTGTAAAAGTACAAATAACAAATCCGGTCACGTATTTGTTGGAAGACATGAAGGCTAAACCGATTTTAGGTGGATTTTACGAACATGAGTTGCAGAAGGCCAAGTATTCGGACGTATATTTGGTTGAAAAAGTCCTGCGTCGCAAGAAAGACAAAGTGTACGTGAAATGGTTGGGTCTGGACGAGAAATCGTGGATTGATAAAAATAATGTTGTTCTATAAGGTTATGATGTGTCGATTTGAATAAATAAATAACTAAAAACTTAAATATTTACTTTTTATTATTGTAATTCACCATACAACATATTTCCTAGTGTCTCTTTTTCTCATTATCGTTAAAAGTAATTCTCGAGTCTTTTTATAATCGAGCAATTGAGTAGAGGGCCATATTGCGGAGTCTGGTCCGCAGGTCCAACCGAGAAGTGCATCAGGATTCTCTTCGCCTTTACGGATATTTTCCAATATCCATGTGTATATCTCGCGATGACGATTGTCCTCGTGCGTATTAAATCTACACTCTATTCCCTTTTCTACGCACACTTTAATAAATAATGTTAGGGCATTAACATTGGCATATTCTGCAGATTTACAAATAATTTCATTTATTACATATGAAATATCCTTATACACACCTGCAGAAGACTTGAGTAAATTAATTACATATTGTTTGATATGAAACAGTAAACTATCAATATTACTACCACTACTACAATCACTAACATTACAGGATATTGATTTTACTAACCTATCCAGTTCAATTTTTCTCTCTATCAGTAATCTAATATTAGTTTCACATACATTTCTAGAGCAAGCACACCAACCGAAACATTCATCAGGGAGGATAATGAGGTTTTGTAACACCTCATTAATGAATGTAGTGGATGAGTTTCTCAATAGACCTTGTTTTAAAAATTGTTTGTAAATGGGAATAGAAGCTTTGTATAGCTCCTCCTCCAATTGTATTTTCAAATTTTCGCTATCCATTATCCGTATTGTTGTTGTTGTAGTTATTGTTGAGGGGTTTTCTAAAATACAAAAGGTGTGGTTAAAAGACGCGAAGGTTGTGGAACATCGACATCGTCATCGTCGTAGTCGTTAGTATGGTTGTATTAGGTAGGATTACTAAAACTACAATATCCCCAAGGATGTGTATCGATACGATTAGCGCATATGACGCGTTTGTCATCGTGAGGACTTAATACGACCTTATTTTGTTTCAATGTGTATACGGCATGGTTCTTCGATCGTATTAGATTCTGCTCCTTTTTTATAGTTACAATATTAAACAAGGACCTTTTATAATCATCGATCGTAACGTCCCTCATACTAGATGATGTGGATCCTTTCGATTTCTTTATCAATTTTCCATCGACCTCATATGAATACATCTTTGCACGCAACCCTACAAATTCGGTCATTATACGGCCATGATTTTCATCCTTCATTAACCCCGGAATTTTTTTATTTACCAAAGGAATTCCAAACTCGTTTTCGGGATCATAATCTGATGTATCAAATCTATGAATATCTTCCTTTATAATTTCATATATTTTGGGAACGTTAAAAGCGTATATTAAACTATCGGTATCGGTGTACAACAGCTTTGCGGACCATTTTTGAAACTTTTTCAAAACGTAGTTATAATGAAAGTCGTAAAGAAACGTTTTTGAAATGTCTAAAACTGAAAATCCTGCGTATATAGGTTTATCGAAAAATACTTCTAATCTATCCATTTGTATGATCACCATGTCCTTATCGAATATCGTACAACTATGGAAGTTTGGTTTGGATATATATGCCCTAGCGCCGTAACGTCCGCCCCATTTAGTCAATAAATGCACCTCCTTGTATTTCCGCACGTTCTCCATAAGCTTACCAAAAGGACTATTAATCATTAATTTATAGAAATTTTTATCGAACTCATTTTTCGCCCGCTGTCGCATACCGATATTTAATTCGATGTATTTTTTCAACCACGGAGACTGCTTGAACTGCAATACTCGATTTATTTTTACTAATTTTAGACCGTGCTGCACGTATATCTTTAAATTTCTATAATGAACGACATATTCGCGCTTTGGATATAAGGTTAACATCAGTTTTTTAAATTTTGAATTAAGGGGTATCATATGCTCCGGCGCCATGGGAAAATCACTATCAGATTCGTGCAACTCGGAGGGATAGTCCAAATCACAGTCTACTATGTATCCTACGTCAGCATCGTCCGGATGATTAAGTATGTCCAAATTTTCAATGTCCTCTACAAAGGAGAATTCGCCGAAGGGCAAGAAATTACACATTGTGGCACCATAAAGATTATTAATGTCAAGGTACAATAGGTACATCGTGTCAAGGTCGCTGTTATAGTCTTTCATGAACGGGTTGTTAGCTTTGGCGTATCTAGTAGAACACTGCGTTATACCGCCTCTAATCCCTTTCTCGATAAACATGAGTTGATCAATATCAGAGAAGCTCCAATTTCACGCCCGTAACTTTTAACATGGCGTCAAAAGCTAGACCCGGAGCGGTATAGTAATGCAAAGGATCAAGCCGATACGTCTCTATGCACGTATTGCGAAAGTTTTCGAAAATATCAACCAAAAGAAGAACATCCGTTTTTAAATAAAGGTCGGAATAATCTCCTAATGTTTTAATGTTGAATGTATTCCATACGTTAAGCGCGTGCTCGTAATTGGCTTCGCTTACCGCTTCGTTTTTCAAATTGCTAAAAAATGCATCTCTAGGCGGTAACTCTGGCTCGTTTAACCTCTCCCATGAGTCGACATAATCGTACGGAAATATGCCCTTACGCGTTAACAAACCAAATTCATTCGCGTTGTCGCTATGCAATCTTATAAGGTTTTTTTTGTCATTCTCCAAATATGAGGACAATTTATGTATACTGCTACTCATAAATCTAAAGGAATCGATAAAGCGAAACTTAATACAAGTATAATAATAATAATAATAATAATAATAATAACTTCACCAGACACAGACACTGATCGTTACTTGATTTTAATCCGTGCGATTAGTTAACCAGGCTAGACCTGAGTTCTCACAAGAAACACCGACCATAATAATAATAATAATAATAATGTCTTTTATTAGCTACATTACAACAACATATATAAAGTACTGGTATCCTGTACGTACTTTGTGAACGAGATATATTTCTCCTTGTTTACGGGCAAAAGTTTGATTTCGCCGGGAATGACCCCGGTCGCAAGCTATCTAATAATAAAATGAGCGTCGTAGCCGCTCAGATTATGAAAAACTACAGGTTTTACCTGACTATCTTTGTAGTTTAAGTTACACTTACTATGAGCAACGCCGCGAAAGAGCCCCCCACCCCTATGACTATGGTCTTTAACTTTTACGTCACCCTCCAAAAAAGGTTTTTCGCAAATGTGGCAGTGCGTTGCGCTCTCGATCCTTTTCAATTGAACCGAACTTAAACGCTCCATGGGAACTACAGTATTCATTATGGCGTTCGCCCATTTAGCGATATCATGTAACTGTTTAATAAACCATTGAATGCAGTCAGCGCCTCGGTACATCGCAAATTTTGAAAGTGACTCATCGTACGAGCACTTTAAATAGAACCCTATACTAAACGGAATATGTGACTGGTAAAGCGCGGTGGCTACACCCTGAAGAGGTGTCGAGTTATCGCATTTTTCCAAGATAGTTTCAAGGTCAGCATAAATAGCAAATGGAACCTTCTCCATATGCGAATAGTGAGTAAACTCTACATATTTTTCGGTATCCTTATTACTGTTAGGCATTCGAATGGAACACTTATTCACTTGATGACACCTTTTTGAATGCTTGTCTAATAGATCGCTCGACGAAAAATGATTTAAACATGTGTAACAGAAAAAATTTTTATGACCTCGATTCGATAATTGCGAGAACAGCGCCGACATATTTTTAATCCAAGCGTAATGATAATAATCGTTGCCATTGTTGTTGTTGGGGGGAGATTGGTTGTTTGATGACAATACCAATAAATTTACGGTTTTTCTCCCATCCGTCTTATCGCTTAACATAAATGGAAATACTTTTTTCTTAACTACGCAATACAAGTTAATGGAGAGGTGATTTAATTGCTCAAATTTTTTTTTATCGATTATTTTAATAGGAAATTGAATAGATTCGCGTTTTAGTATGTCATCAAAATGAGGATAACTACTTACTCTATCAACATGTTTGGTGACGGGATTTAAAGCAGGCACTATGGACCATAGAAAACAAAATTTATCATTGTTTCGTACATTCACAACGGCTTTCTTAGCTAGTATAAACGAAGGCATCTTTATATATGTTGAAAAACCACCTTTGCACTTCACTTAACGCCCAACCGGACTGTTTTTCGGAAAAATTTTCCAACTTGGCTTGCAGTTTATCAAAAACGTTCTCCTTGTACCACTTTTTAAGATTGGTGCCGATATCAATTACGGCATTTCTCGTTTGAAATGTTTTTATATCTACATTGAGATCTTGAGGATGGATAAAGTTACATGCCAAACTTACGTTTACCTTTAACATTGATCGTTTTAGCGCCTCACCAATTTTGCGCGCAAAGCTGTCGTACGATTTTTTTAGAAAAACTAAGGGGTCTTTATAGGTAAAGTTTACAATGACGCCGGTAATCAAACGGCCTTTAAAACGAGAATCTAAGGTGTACCACGCCAAAGTACGGAGCGGATGATTTTTTCTATCGACGGTGTCATCTATTCCACAACCCTCCCTTTTTACAGAGATATTTTTCAATTGTTGTTTTAATTGTGCTCGAAAATATTTAAGTTGGGTTAAATTCGCTTCCAGTCTTATCGGGCTTTCATTTATCTCATTATGAAGGTTTATTGGTAATTGCTTTCTCTAACAAACGTATGTTGGAATCGAT